GCAGTCACAGACCTAAAGCAAAACTCACCTAACAGCTTCACTGCCGTCGCATCAGGACATCCAATCGGTTAGGGTTTTTCTCACTCACGCCGCGCCAGGGTCCGAGTCTCAGGTGAAAAGGCGGGCAGCTCAAGCCAGTTCGGCGAGCCTAGCACACGCCTAGAGGTCTCTTACCTCTGGGGGGGGTGACAACCCTCTCCCGTGTACCTATGCAGCCCAGCGTTCTCGCGCTTACTAACTGGGCTACTGAAAAGGTAAAAGTCCTCGTGCGGGGACTGTTCAGTCGGCACCGCAGAAGGACCTTAGGTCCACCGCCTAACTCTACAAGCAGCTAAAGGTCGTGGCGCGCGCTTTGGCCTCAGAAAAGGTGGGTCACCCTGCCTCCAAACCCAGCTCCAGGGAGGGGTAGCCCTTTCCCAAAGCCATGCTACGACCTTCTCCAGAAGGACAAAAACTACTCAACCTGCCAGCAGGGGCAGTACCCGCTGACTCTGCACAAGGCCGAGCAAAGACAAACAACCCTCACTGACATTTAAGGAAGGGAAACCACTTCCACGCCAGCAAGGGTGACCATCCTCGCACAGCACAGGCAGTCCCACAGTCATGACTCCCCACAGCCTACGCCCTTCGACAAAGCGCAGGGCTTCCCCTCAACAAGGCGCAGGGGCCCACGTGCCTGCAGGCCGAAAGAGAGCCCGACAGGAGACCTGCCGCCACGAGGACGGACGGGAGGCAATCGCCCAACATTGCTATGATGGCATAGCCGGCGGTGGAAAACGGACCAGCTAAGACGTCCAGGGCGTCACAACCTCCCGAAAGCTGCACAGCAAAGCCCTCTGAACAGGGCCTCGGGCCGAAGGCACGCGAGCAGAGCAGGCAAGCGGCAGCTTCTTCAGCATTGCACCCCAGGGGTAAAAGTGCAGGCCGGATTCGCAAGTTAACAGAAAAAACGTGCCGAAAGACCCAAAACACGCCAGTCCCCTTGCGAAGCAAAGCACAGAAAGAAACCCTCCACTACCCACTGTGGAGGGCGGCTGGCATGACGAAACCGAGGTAGCCGGCGACTCCACTGGGTTGAAAACAGCTCACAGGACCTTCGAGGGCAAGGCTGCAATAGCAGGAGTTTGAGAAGGCTGCAGCGCGCGAACGGTCCTCACTGCCAAAGACCCTAACGCACCAGCCTAAACCTAGCGAGAGCCCCAAACGAAGTCCTACTGTCTCGACAGAGCAAGGCGAGCAACAATGAAAGCACCCTACCAGGAAGGGAGAAACCCTATCCTCACCAAGAAATGGAGCGGTCAATGGAGGGGTGCGGCCCACTCCCTAGCCACCAACTCCGTCCTCCGCAAGGAAAGGTGCAAAACGCCCACCCTCAATCCTCGCTCTGCACGTCAGACAGCCTTCTGAT